CATTCACGTTCGCGATTTTACCAGTCGATGCCCATCGATGGCGCGTTATCCGGACAGCTGGTTTGATGCGTAGGAGCACACTTTGATAAATGCCGCATCAAAGCGTTTTATATCAAGAGTAAATCGACATTTTCATGCGCACAGTACGGACGTCAGCCATAAAAAATTTGCGTATATATATATATATATATATATAAAAGGACCGATACATTCATGATGGTCGCACGAAATTGCGTGTGGGAAAAATTCGCACGACGGCACTCTTGCATCGTTATTATCCCACGAGAGCTTTCCGGATAAAGCGACGCTTAGTGATAACGAGGCGCGCGATGGTGAGATATTGTTCGGCTAACGCTTTTTGAAGCGCACATATTTCACGAACGCCGGCCGTAATTACGATCGACTTAACTGATGTATCTAACGTCATTCCTCTACGCGCACCACCCGTGGTAGCGTAATCTGATACGTAGGTTCCCGACGTATCGCCCGGTATTAGTTTCCGCGCGGAAACGTATCGACGTACCGAGCCGATGCGAAAGGAATCTCGATGGCCGCAAGAAAACCGGCGTTTTGCTATCGAATAACGTTTTCCTGTAGTTCCGGGTATGTCAAAACCTCGAAAGTCTACCGAGCTCTGCCAAGATTGACAATGCATTTCCATCGCAATACATTTGATTTCTTGCGAGGAGAAAGATAGATAGATAGATAGATAGATAGAGAGAGAGAGAGAGAGAGAGAGAGAGAGAGAGAGAACAAACGAAGCTTGTTTCCTAATGAATTCGGAATAGATTCGACTTCTCGTATAAATACTTGTGGATTATTTCGAGCATTCGGAATCGGATAGATACTTTAAAGTTAATAATAAACAAGCTGTGCAAACGTATACCAAAAAGATCGTTATTTTAATCACCAATATTTTTCCGTAGATCTCAGATTAAAATGCGGACGTTTCACGACATTTTCTATCCGAAAAGAGTAAATTGGAATCAACGAGCTAATCAGTTCGACGATCTGGCGGGAGGAAAAGTTCCGCGTTTGATTTTTCCAATATCTGGATTATCAGAGGCAAGGAAGTGGAAACCGGGATCGGCCGAGTTGCGATCGCGCGAAAGGGAAACGAAATCGATCCCGGTGGTGTCTCTACTTTACTTTTGTAATTTCATAAAGGAAAGGGCTTGCGCGCTCCCGCCACACCTGCCACCGAGCAGGCCCGAAGATTCCTATATCTTCGTTTTCGCCTACATTTACCTCGATTTTCGCGCAGTTGCCGAGTGAAGAATTCCGCGGAACCGGCGAACTCATGTGGCCTAGAAACAAGTTGAAAGCGTTACGGACTATGCAGGTTAGCTTTTCAAGCTGAAACATGTGACGCAACCGGCCTTAATGTAGCGCTTTGATCCGTCGACCCTCGATGCATTGAGCGCGGTGCGTTGTCGAGTACGTAATCTTAAGATTACGTGTGTACTGGCCGTTCCGGACTTGTTTTACAATCTTCCAGTAAACAGCAGAGACATGATTGAAAAGTACAGCAACATGTAACTATGATAATATATATATAATATAAAATAGGCGATTACCTCAGTTTTATTATATTAAAATTTTAATATCTACAACGTCGCGTACCGCCATCAACACTTGAGATCTACGTACTTTTTTTAATGGAAAATTTCATTTAAGATTTATTATTAAGATCACTGGATTTCAGTTAACAATGTTATAAATTGATTTAAATATTGATAATACTGATAAATATTGAGATAAACAATGATATAATAATATATAATTATAACTGTAACTAATTAGATAACAAGGTGATAAGAGAACTGTTAAACAAATAAAAAAAATTGTTGATCATTTATCATTAATTAATTGAAAACGATTGTCCCTTTTTGAGCATCGAAATGAGAAATTAGCACAAACTTAAATGTATTTGTCTTTGCTAGATAAGTAATTTTGTATGAATTGCGGATTTCGTTTGAAATAATACACGATGTCTTATAGTGGTACGAGTGCTGAAGGCAACGATGGGGAAACGCTCAAACAGATACGGCAACACATGCAAATGGTAGTGAGGTATTCTGGCGAAAGCAAGACATAACTAACTTCGAAACTACGCGACTAGCAGTTGCAATCCCTCTCGGATCCTTGATTTTCACAGTCCGGACTTCTGTAGCTACACGCGTCACTGATTTAGCAATCAAGATATAATACTTTCGCCAAAAGAGCTACACGATTCGACATGTTCTCACCTTATTTTATGTATTCACAGCTGATCCGTATTTATAATATTTATATAAGTTTGCTTTTTGAGACGCGAACAATTTGCAATTTTTATAGATGGGTCTCAACAAATAATCGATTTGTTGTATCTAATATTCTTTATTATTGTATTATAATAATGAGGATTGTACTATTCCGACGATCAGACTTAGTCGGGCTCCGTCTCTCAACAAATTATTTTTTTTCACCTCAGGGATCTTAGAGATTGTTATTACATTTGTACATTTTATTGGCATAAATGCGAAAACAACTATTAGGAATTTTGATTTCATATATTATGTGCAAATACTTCGAACTAAATGAATCCCGACTCTCAACAAACTATTTTTTTTTATCATCAAACATTCTAAAAATTGTTCTCGCACATGTACATTTGGGAATAAAACGCAAAAATCGCTGCAAATTTTTTGTTTATTATAATTTTACGGTCTTTTAGTGTTTTTTTAAATGTTCATTATTTTTAAATTGTTTTTTTGTTATAATAAATGTATACATATGTTTCTTTTTATAAATTTATTAAATTTGGACTGATTTTTAAATTTTATTTTAAGAACGCTCCGAACTTCAACTACATTAATTTCAATCAATTTCTTTTCTAATACGAATCCAATTTTTTTCAAATATTTTATTTTATGAAATATTTGTAATATAATCTTTACATTTTTTAAATATCTTTCGTATGTAATATTGATTTTAAAACAGATATGGCAAGAGGTAAAATTTTGTGTGAATTGACGAGAAGTTTATCGTCAGATGAAATTGCAGTTCTCTATTGTAACAATATCAATAATGTAGGAAGCAAGATACGAGAACATGAAATCTGACCAAAAGATATATCCAATGCTAGTACTAAAAACGATTAACTGCAGGTAACTTTTGTTAAATAAAACAATTTTCTCATTGCAATATCAATCTGACCTATTAATATAATATATAATTTTTTTCGTTATATTTAAAAAAGGTAGTAAAACAATGATTTTAGTTGATTACAGTTTTTAATCTTTCGAAAGATTTTAATGGAGTGAAAAGAAAGAAAGATTGATAAGATAGAAATATATCTTAACAAGAAAATTGTGTCTTAACCTTTAGACGGTAACACTGGTTCACAGGATCACTAGTTAATTCTAAAAAATAAATATATAAGAACAAGTCACGCGAAAGAGCTGATATCTTAATACGTTAACAGCTAATTGTCAGTATTTAAGCAAAGAGCAGATGTGATCGTTGCTTACCAATTTCATATTTTCTCAAAAAGTATTGGAACGGGTAGGAAAATGTGATTGTTGGTAATATATGATCTCGTAGAATTGTGTTTTTTTAAATAATAATATTTTAAATATTAAACACAAATGTGAGATGTGTATCTTACTTATTTTTTATATATTAATAAGGAAAGATTTCACTGTCTCTACTTTTAAAATGATACATAATAGTTCCAGCAGACCTATCTCGTAAGGGTTAATAGACATAGTGAACCCCCGGGGATAACTGGAGAGAGAGAGCCGACAAGATCGATGGTCGGTGACTAATGGAGCTTCCCGGGCCACATGCATAAATTGGCTCGAATTCAGACGTACAAATACAAATTCTCGTCCATTAGATGGGTTGAATAAATAAGAGAAAAATTACTATTCTAAAAACTGTTGTAGAAAGATTCGGTTTTGGATCCTATTTTTTTTCAAGACATATATTTCCTAACGTGAATATAAATAATGTTATCAGCCTGTGATTTCGAATGTGCAGTTTGCGGCAAACACATTTCCTCACAGACTAGACGAAACCTTGGATTTTCTCTTTTTTTTTCTTTCGTTTCGTTTCGATGTGTTATATCGATTAATTTTTGCTTCGACAAAGACTGAATTGTTAGATTGTAATAACCATGTCCTTCCTAAATAGTTTCCTGTTTTGCCATCGTAAAACTTTCACTTGTGGAACAAAGCTTGACCTCCGCTCGAATTTTATACCTGAGTATTGAGACTACCTGAACGAGACCATAGCGACAATATTAGGAGGGATCCTGTATTTTGTTTGGATTCAAAATTCGAAGGAGCACACAGGTAGTGCTGAAGAAATCTGCTGCTTTCCTTTGAGAGAAGAAAAATTGTATCTTTACTCTCGTGCAGTTTACTCTGATGACATCTGTCGCTTCCAGCGAAAAAGCAAAATGTGTAAAGTTCAAGAATATTATCTGTTATCTATTCATTAAGGCATCGTTCATACCGGACATATGGTGTACCACAAATCGTCGAAAGTAAGTGAGATCCACGCTAGTAAGACTCGTCGCACGTCGTGGTCGGTATTATATAATGGATTTAATAATTAACAGTGCATTGTTAATTCAAGGACACTAATTAGTGTCCAAGACATATAATCGGTCGTGTAAAAATACATTTCTCGACATAGATAAATTTAAAAAAATTATACGTACGGGCGCACTAAATATCAACGCATCCCTGTAAATTGTAAATCATAAAATATAACCAGCGGAAATTGCGCTGTGTCGTGGCGAGTCGGGACGTATCTTCGTCTAGTGTGAATAAATCTTTATGGGCCTCATTACATTATCGGGCGGTGTGTTAGTGACGATAAACGTATCTAAACAGTCGAGTCAGTTATAAAGAGAAACTACCGCACTGGGCTACACGCGTCTTCGTCTCAGTTTGACTCAAGCATTCTTCAGACGAGCTACGGTCATTATAGGTAAACTATCGCTGCATGCTTGATATTTTGTATGCTCTGATAAAATGTGAAGTGAAAGTCAAATCGAATAACGCACGTGTCTAAAGAATGTTTTGTTGACGTTTGTTGTAATATTGTTATGTTGCTGATAGACGAAAGTCGTAATAACTGACAGGCTACATTTGTACACACACAACACAGAATGGATATGTAGGATATTTTTCGACAGCTCGACATAATTGTTAATTTGTGAGTTCAAAATTTTACAACAATATATCAAATTGCGCGTTGGTTATTATTTAGTCTTATACAACGTAGTTTTAATTTACTTTAGTAAAAACTTTAGCAGAAAAGCTATCTTTTATATTTAAATTAATAATCATGTTAATAATAATAATAATCAACATAATTATCGTTTGTAATTAAGCTCGTTGAAAGCTTGAAAGATTAAACCTCTTATTGTTGATAAGAAATCAGCATTACGAAACTTATCATCTTAGTCCCTGATAAGTTTCGACATTTTAATATTTCAATGTAGTAATTTTGATATTTGGTTTTACTGAAGCAAGTGATTTAATTGTTTCTATTTATCAAAAGCAATGTTAAAGATGTATAATAAAGTATTATCTTACATATTCTCATTCTGATCTTGTATATATATTCCTGTATATATGTGTATATATATATATATATATATATATATATATATATATATATATTCTTCATTTCTAAAACATGCTTGGTATTTTATGTCACGAAAATTAGTCCTAAATTCTGTATGTAATACAATTGTGCATATGTGTGTGTGTAACAGCTTCATAAATAATATACATAATATACAGGAAAATATCAACAGTGATAAATAATTAAAATAACTGCAAACAAAAAATAATTAAAAATAATTAAAATAACTGCAAAAAAAATTATCTATTGGAAATATAAATGAAAATATATCACAGTCAATGTCACTAATTTAGAATTTTAAAAAGAGAAATTTTTTTATTCCACTCGGCTATAATCGAAAGTGTACCTACGGTTAAGTGTATCATTTTAAAGAATATTGCAGGTAACTTGAGCAGATGGCTTTATATTTAAGTACAATATTTAATAAAGAATATTATTGATTTTTTAGCGTATTAAATAATTTAAATATCGATTTCGGTGAAAGCACCGTCGTTACGTTGCGAGACATTAAACGAAATGCGCTGCGTAAAAAGCATCGTGCGCGAGACATCATCCGGAAGTGGGTTCACTTGTATGTCCATTTCGATGAATAATTTTTGTGGCAAGCGATTTATCGCACCCATCTTTTCTCTCGTTCAAAGGTCTCATCTTCCCTTAATTGGAGTCATTGAAGAAATAATTTAAGAATGCCCATATGTGAACGTCATTGCAATACTTGCGTATCTTTATGATACACCGCTTTACGCAATAGTCTAAAAATGTATGACAAAAGCCAAATGGAAGATTACACTTATCAGGGATCACTTCATTCAGTATGCTTCGTATCTTCCCTTCGAAAAATTACGCGATATTGTCATTATTATTACCTCATTTGCATTTTGTATTGCATATTATATTTATCAAAAATTATACTTTGTATTGCAAAGATTATCGGGTTCTTTCTATTTATAATTACATTAAACAATTTAAGTAGTTTAAGAATAGAAATAGATTCAAGTTAAAGACATAAGTCCGAGAAATGAGTAAAATATAGATTTATTTTATTGCTAGTTGTAATCGAGTCTATTGATTGGGTATTTTGAAACTGATATTTGCTACAGCATAAAGTACGGTATTGTGTCAGCAAATTTCTTTCTCCGTGTAACATAGAAAAATGAAAAGTTATATCTCACTCAACAGCAGCACGTTTGAAGTTGATTATTACACAGTATAATTTTTAATTAAACTAAAACTAACGTACTCTCTGCGTCTAGTTTTACAAGCAAAGTGTATAACGTTTGCTTCAACTTTGTTTACTATTTCTCATATTAAATATTAAATTTTTTAATGTACAGCACATTTCAACGAGGCATAATCGGACGCAAACTACGCCAACATGAATGCGATGAAATCAGGTTGGTTCAGCGAATTAAACGATCTCTGGCCCGGCGTTGCGCTCTCGCTGGAAGTGGAGGAGGTCCTGCATACCGAGCGCTCTCAGTTCCAAAACATTTTGGTAGTGAAAACGTGAGTATTTCCTCAACGAGAAATGATCGTTAAATAATGTAACAATTTTTTAGGGCTTTAACTTTGAGAATTAAAACTAAACGAATTAAAACTTTACATAAAGAATTAAAAGACATTAAACACGAATGACTTCTTTAGCATAAAAATGTTATATTTGCAGAAAATCACACGGCAAGGCTTTAATGCTCGACGGTGTGATCCAATGCACCGAGAAAGACGAAATGTCTTATCACGAGATGATATCATATTTACCGCTCTGTTGCCATCCAAAACCTCAACGTGTAAGTGTTAATAATTGATACGTTATACATTACTTATATAACGATTATATGAGATTTCAAATTTACATCAATTTATTCAGATTTTCTTTATTTCTTTTGTGCAGTATATTTTTAAAGAAATATTAGAATCTTTTTTTTAAGAATGCTAATTAATTTAATAAGAATCAGAGTTATAAGTTAACTTGTATCTTTATAGTGATAAAATATAGATAATTATACACCTTTCTAATGAAAGGCGCATAATAAATTCGTAATGAATTGTTTGCGTGAAATTTGTGGTAAATATTATGTATCATTAACGCTTTAATTTTCTTTGAAGTCTTGCAAATTATCTTTAAAAAAATACAGATAACTCGACATTTCTGCCAAACAACAGGTCCTGATAGTCGGCGGGGGTGATGGCGGGGTTGCCCGAGAGGTCTCGAAACATCCGGATGTAGAGCAAATCACGCTAGTGGACATCGACGACCGAGTTATCGAAGTGTGCAGGCAATATATGCCTCGTTTGAGTTTGGGTCTTAATAATCCCAAAGTAAATATTTTTGTTGGCGACGGTTTCGAATATCTAAGGGATCACCGTAGTGAATTCGATGTCATCATCACTGATAGTAGCGATCCCGTAGGCAAGTTTTGCAAAGCTTCGTACTAATAAGATTTTCTTTCAATAAGGTTTCAACAAGGTCTATTTGTAAATAAAAATATTTTTTTAAAGAAAGATTTTAGAACCGAAACTAATTTTAATATTTTGTTTAGGTCCCGCCGAGAATCTCTTTAAGCAGTCATACTATGAGTTATTGAAAGCTGCGTTGAAACATGGTGGAATCATTGCCAGTCAAGCTGGAACAGCATGGATGAATATGGATCAAGTGTATAGTACGTACCAGCATTGCAAGACCGTGTTTCCCGTCGCTGCATACGCGGTAACAGCAGTACCGACGTACCCAACTGGTCAAATCGGTTTCGTTCTTGGAAGCCTAGAAGTTAGTATTAATATTATTTTCTCTATTGCATAATATATGACAGAAATTTTATGTATATATGTGTATAATTTCCATATACATCCTTATTTAATAATTGTGATATGACAAGAACATACACCTTGTATTATAAAAAACAGAGAAATTTTTTTTCTCAGCGAGATAAAAATTATATTTATTCTTAAATCAGTCTTTTCTGGAATATATTCAGTATTCTAATAGTCTCAATTTTCCTTCTTTTCAGCAAATAAATTTAACAGAACCGATGAAGATATTCAGCGATGAAGATCTCGAGCGTATGTCAATGATGTATTACAATGATAAGGTACATCGGGCTGCTTTTGCCTTACCAAGATTCGTGGAGAAGGGTTTGCGCGGTGCTTAAAGTATTAGCTAAATACTTAGCAATATATTTATTAAATTCAATTTTGTATCAGTTAACGTAAAACTTATTTACGCTGATATTTGCGTGTAAATAATGTTTGAGGGCTTGTGACATTATATGATAACAATAAAAATAATTACAAACAATAAAACCTAACAAGATTCTTCGAATTAAAAATACAATAAATTATAAGTAAGACAAATAGGAATCGGCATGGTTATTGGTACGCAATATTTAATTTACATAAAATTTACTTTATTGTAAAAGTCAAACGTTTCGGTATCTTCAGTGACAATTTACAATAATTACATTTAACTCTCGCTCTTAGTTTCTTACATGCGTTAAGAAACTAAGATCGAGAGTTAAATATAATTATTGTAAATTATCACTAAAGATGGCTAAAAAAGATAGCCAAAAAACGATAGAAACGTTTGACTTTTAGAATAAACTAAATTTTATGTAAATTAAATATTGCGTACCAATAATCACGCTGATTCTCATCTGCCTTACTTACTTATGGTATTTTAAAAAATAATCTATATGTATCGTATCTTTCACTAATTACCTAATTTCTATACATGGGCAATATGAATTAAACATATCCTAAAGAAAATGCAAAAGAATCTTTTTTTACACATTCTATTAAATTTTTTTTATACAAATGCAGACATTTTACAGATATTCTACGTTTTATAGATGTATACGCAATATTTGTAGAACATTTTTCTGAGTAGAAAATAATTGATAAGCATTAATTGATAGCATCTTTTTGATTACTCTCGAGTTGATTTAATAATAACGACAATTTACTTACAATCGGGAATTTTTGCCTGTCAATAGAATAAGGGACTTGTATTTTATCAGCAGTAGATAATATAAAATAAAATAAAATAAAAAGTTTGATTTTGTGGATAGAAATAGTGTCATTACTATAAACATTTCTGAATTGTGCAATAGAGTAAATTAAATTATAAAATTGTAAAATATATATTAAGATTTCCATACGTATCGTTGTGTATGGTAACTGCACAAAAATAAGTCATGTCTACTTAACCAGTCATTGTTAACATGCCGACAGATGTCAAAATTTTATAGATTTTTGTTAATATTGACATGTATGTGTGGTCACGACAAGAATAATTAATTAACCATGAAATAACGGTTTATATTTACAAATATAAAATATTTTGCTGTTTGTTGCATTCTTTTCTAAAATAGCAAAATAAAAAATAATTATTTGTATTAAATTGTAATGCAAATAAGAAAAGTAAGGCTTATTTGACAATTTAAAAATTTAATATAGTCATTTTCTTTTTCTCCCATTTTCTTTTTTGCTCTAAAAAAGAGAAAAATTTTGTGCATTCATAGTAGAGACGTATCGGTACCTTCCTCTTATAACAAGTTGCTTCGAGTAATCTTAGCAAGAAGTAATCTCATTCTAAATTTGTAATCCAGTTTAACTTGCTTCTTACCTAAAACTTTAGATTAAAACTTCAAAAAGATGAAAGACTAAAAAATAAAACAAAATGGTAAGTCTGAATATCTTTGAATTGATATAGAAAGATAAAGCTTAGAGAGAGAGAGACGAAGTTTTCTTTTCTAAAATGCAGTCGAATTTTAAATTTAATACCTATGCGAATAACGTTAAGTTTGTCACTCGATTGCATAACGGTAAGTAAAAATCCTATTTAAAATACTGTAATTATCTGGAGCATCGCGTGAGCCGTCTGGAAATGACGATGACGCACAACCGCGGAATCTCAGTCTATCCTAATTAATTCCTGGAGGCTTTCTATCGAGCTTTCTATCTTATAATTCCCACAAACGCGCGGGCACGACGCGATGCACTCTGGTCGCTATCAGCCGGCGTTCGCGGAATTGCGCGATAATTAGCATATTCATGAATTAGCCGCGCGAGTTAGCTCGGCCAGACAGTGAATATCTCAAAGTAAAATGAGGCGAGAATAGGCGAGACGGACGGACGAACGGGCGGGCCGGGCGGTCGGGTGGCCGACACGTTCGAGAATCTCGGGGTGGAGGAGGGGGAGGGAGGGAAACCCTCTGTAAACATCCGATCTGCGGATTTTATTAATGGGAGGCCGGAAAGGGGATGCAGGAGAGAGATCGCGGGGACGTATTCCCGTTGCGGGATTCGCAATTCCGAGGGGCCTGCGCTGCGGAATACGAAGCGAAAAGAGCCCGGCAGCCCTTTGATCCGACGCAATCTTCCCTCGTGCGCGGCTGAAGCTTCGAGATTGAAAGGATATTTAGCGCTTCCTCCTCCGGAAGTGCATCCTGCTCCGACGTACGCTCGCCCTCTCCGCACGGGATGCATTCTCTCGCTCGCGCGCGCGCAGCCCGTCGCGTTAGAGGGCGGCGAGATTAAAGAAGCCGTATACCCCAGGTGTTCATCGGCTCTGGTCGGAGTGATTACATCGGCTGACATTATGCGCGTGTCGCACCAGGGCCTCGTTCGCTTCGTCGTCGTCGTCGATGCCGCACGGACGGAGGATGAAACGATGTCGCCCGTAGCGCGTTCGCGGGGATGCGTGCACGCTTGCGTCGCAGCATCACCACCGAGTCACTCGAGAGCCCCCGCTTTAGCGGGCGATCGATTTTTTCGGACGTCCTATGCTTTCGATTCCCGCACACGGTGCCCGACACACAGTGGAATGTCGGGATATAGGTCAGACGTCTATATTGTCAGCGATATAGATCGCGAAAGGACACGCGCTGCGTGTCGTGCTCTGATTGGAATCACCTTGTCGCGCTGTTCGCTAAAATTAGTGAACTTACGATCGAACCGTCGCTGGCGTTAGTATAAAAAAAAAAAGAACAGAAAATATCTCGTTCGTTGTTCAACGCGCAAAAATCATTATTTATATAAATCGGTATACGTGGCATCGTTATAAAATTGCGACATCCTCTCCTCTCGTTTGATTCTAACTTCGCTCGTTCGCGCGACACCGTGTTTCATCGTTTTCTACATTACACGTGTAACGTTAACGGAAAAAAGGGGACAGCTTACGCAACAGGCAAACGAGTGATACCAGCAACGGACGTTTTGCCCGACAAACGGTATAACACGGATGGCGTGGTACGCATCACACGGTAACAAAGTTATCGTATTTGTCCTGGACCCCAAGCAACTTGTCACGTGTGTTTGGGAACGGATGCTGCGTGTCAATATTGCTAACACTGGTCGATCATTATATGCAGATTGGCGCGAGTTACGCATGCCGCATTCATCCGTGAAATTTGATTATGCCAATACAAATATCGGCCATTACTATTACTGTGTATCGCGCAAAACGCGCGTTTCCGATCGCGGTCGCGCGTGTCTTTGATGACATGTAATCGCGAGATTCAGCAATAAAAACGAACAACGGGAAATGAATATATCATTATCAATAAATGCACATTTTATCCCTTTAACATTTATTCCCCGCACGTGCTCATTTTTACATTCGCATTATCGCCAAGTTATATCACGAAATGTGTTCGTAAAATCAGGCTGCCGAACCGTAATACAATTCCCTCGTAATAACATGACATAGCTGTATGACGGAATCGGGATCTAACTAATAAAGTGATTTATTGGACCAAGTTTAATTAGAGCAACTCCGCGTGCAGTCGTTATTCCAGAAGGGGGAGAAGCTCGGTGGGTCGTTAACTACGCTTAATCTCTCCAAACGATTCCTCTTCGATGTTCCTGACTGCGTTTCGCAAGTAGAAAGTCTGACCATCTGTCAGTATGATATTGCCGAGAGAAGCAACAGACCGCACGCTCGTGGGATCCATAAATTATTGTTCTCACAGAGATTGAAAAGTCAGTTCATAAATCACGCTGCAGTGGATCAATTGTCTTCAAGCACTGATATTCTGCGCGAAGCCCTTCCCTTTTGCCAAACCGCAAAACTTTTGTGTAATTTCAAATAATTTGATTATAAGAAATTATGTATAACATATAAAATTATATTATTAAATCATGTAGCAATATTAAGAAGCGAGACCAAGGAACACAAGAATAAACGAATATACATGTTATGCGTAAGTGCGTACAATATTTTTAATTAATTAACTAAAAAATAAGTTCCAAAGTCTCTAAATAAGATAAAGTTTCTAAAATTTAATTTAGAAACTTTGTCTTGTACGTACCACACTTTTTTAATTAAGGAAAAACGTGTAAGTATTAAAGTGGCTACGTAATCGACTTTCTTATTGTAGTGTATATCTTTTCTATACTAACCCGAGAAGGAAAACCGATATCTATGATGTTTCGGTGTTTTTCGTAAAGCACTCTTTTCCAGACAATTTGTAAGTTTAGGGACGTGACGGAAGATTATGAAGTGATTTTCGAACGGGAGAGAGTCTCGGGGAAAGTTCTGGAATATTCTGGCAAAGGTGAGAAGAGAAACTTTCCTATTCACCTTAAGTTCTATTACGGCGCACCGAGGTTATAACATCTCCCGTAACTTTTCAGATCGCACAATGCGCGTCGAGGGTGCCGCCGAATTTATTCATCGTGATATTTCCTGGCCGTGAGAAATTTTATCCTGCAGTGATTGGCAACGACGTATATTGAGAGTGATTACAAACAACGCCGTTAAACAATAATTTTACATTAAAATTTTGCAGGAAACGGTGAGAAGCAGATATTATAGCAGCGAGACTAATTCGAAAAAAATTCTCGTCTTAATCCAGTATATAATTTAATAATGCAATAATTCACAATTGATTTTCAATTTTCCTTTGCAGATTGGTTGTATATTAATTCAACGTCTGCAATATTCCTCGAGGAACATCCCTTAGCGGATATTCGTCCGGCAATTCCAATGTCTTTAATTATTCGCGCTATCTGCTAGCGTAATCGAATTAGATCGACTGTCGGTCGATCAGCAATAAATTATATAATCAGCATGCACCAATTGGGATCGGGTGGCCTAAGATCATTATAATCTGGCTATATTGAGCTGAGAGACACTTGGCCGATCCATTTATGGGTTAATGAATTACCGATGAAACGGCAAATCGACACCGCTGCGGGGGGACTACGTGTCAAGATCGATATATTCGCAAGACCGAAATTCCGCAAACACGAATTGTCGTTGGAAACGCGCGTTGCAGCACCACGCGTCTGACAAACGGACA